GTAAAGTGATGAATAAAAACACTAAACAAATGCTTTTATTCGTAGGCCTAGAGGCTTGCTTTAGCCTAGCTAGGTAACATCGTTCGTTTATACACACATGTATTGAGTCTTACGTACGTATTAGGTCAAAGGTTACCACAAATTTAACCCAACCTCTATTTTACGAATCCCCCGGTTTACGTACGCCCTCCGGTCCCGTGCCGTACGTAAATTCGAGGTTCTACTGTACCAAAAAAATGTTTTAGTGCCTGCTAATTTAGTGGGCAGTATGATATCAGAACATGACAATGGTGCTAGCAACCAATGTCAGAATTAAGGCAGTCAGAAAAAAATGATGGAAATCAACAATCATGTAAATAAAAATAAAATGGTGCTTTATGTTATATTCTTTAATAAGTATGTATCAAATATCATACTGTTGTTATGAGACACTACTTCAATATACAGTACAACCCCTGTTAAGAGGGCACATTTGGGACCAAAAAATGTCCCCTTAATGGGGTGCCCCTATTAAGGAGACACAAACAAACCAAAGTGTGAAATTGTATCTATAGGGTTTTGGTAGTTTTCATACAATGATGCTGATAATGATATAGGCCTACTCTCTTTTTATTTTTATTGACCTAAGAATGAATTGCAAATAGAATTAGAACTACAGTAGTTTGCAATGCAATATTTATTTATAATATGAAATCAGCAGTAATAGTGTATGTTCCCAATATAATTTTGTGATGCGATGTGAATGACCAAATATTTTTTTTTTTATATATTTAGCGTTCTATTGGACGCACGTAGCATGAATAGAGTAACAACGTAAAAGTAAGGGTGCATGTTATGTTATAATTAGAATCCTATATGAATGTACACAAAATCCCCATAGTTAGAGTTCAAATTAATTTGACAAGATAGGTTGACAATATTCCTATACCGTTCACACTAGGATTCAGCGGAAAATAATTGTGCATTGATGTGAAGTTTTTTTTTGCTCAAAAGATGTCAAAGTTTATTTTGAGACTCCTTTTGTGATACAATAAAGATATATATATTTGTCCACTTATTAGGCGTTAAATACTCAGATTATTGATTTGACCATTTGGCACACCCAGAAATTGTCAATTCAATTCAATTCAATTCAATTCATCCTAATAATGGGGTGTCCCATTAATAAGGTTCGCCGTATTGTTAAAATATATATTTCCCCTCGTTTCATGGATAAGTGTCCCCTTAATACTAGTATAATAGGGGTGTCCCAATGTAGGGGCTCTACTCAAGTTTAACAAACTTTCTAAACAATAGTGGCCTTTCTCAACTCATAAATCAACCAACAAGAATCACAGACTCCACTCAAACGATTTTAGATTTAATATTTGTTTCTAATGAAGATAAATATACACATTCAGGCTGGTACTAGAAGTATTCGTATTAGTGACCATTCATTGATTTACATTCTTCAAAAAAATAGGAAAATTAAAAATGAACCAAAAACTATAAATATCCGATCTTTTAAAAATTTCAATGAACATCAGTTTATTGAAACAATTAAAAATTTAAACTGGAACCCTGTATTTCAATCTACTGATGTAAATAAAACCTTAGAAATCTGGAATAATTTCTTTACAGAAGCTTGCAACTTGCATGCTCTTTTCAAAATTAAACGAATAAAAGGTTTTATGCCTGAATGGATTACCCCAGATTACCTTAAATTAACTAAGGACAGAGACTACTACTTTTCTAGGGCTCACAAAACAAATAATACCCTTGATTGGGCAAAAGCTAAAGAACTTAGGAATAGAGCAAATAATATGAATCGTCATCTTAAAAAAAAAAATATTGCTCAAAGGCTATCAATGAAAATATTGATAAACCCCAAAAAATTTGGAAAAACTATAAAAAATATTACTGGTAATGACAAAAAAAACCCCAATCAGTTCTATTATATCTGGGAATGAAATAATCTCCAATGAATTTGAAATTGCCAACAAATTTAACTCTTATTTCTCTTCTATTGGCGAGTCCTTAGCACAACAACTATACTGTAATAATAACTTAAACAATATGAAATCAGAAGCACTACTTTAGACTGGTTTTCAGCATACCTTTTGGACAATCTCAAGTTGTTAAAATTAAATCCAAATGATCAGATCCTAAAGATATCACTATTGTTGTCCCTCAAGGATCAATTTTTGGCCCCCTTCTTTTTATTATATATATAAACTCCCTGCCTGAAATTATCACTCCCGATTCAAAATGTGCAATTTTTGCAGATGATACTAGTGTTCTTTGTTCTGCCTCAGATCCAAACAAATTACAATCTATCATTGACAAAAATGTAGCCAGTATTTCTAAATGGTTTAATATAAATAAATTAACTATTAACTTTATTATTAAAACAAAATTTATG